CCAAGTGGTTTTAATCTGCATTTATTTTTTCCTACTTGCTTTGATTCTGTTTTATTTTCCTATGTTTTAATCATGTAAAGCACTTTGCATTGTCTTTGTACTGAATTGTGCTATACAAATAAATTTGCCTTGCCTTGCCTTGCCTTGAAGGCCATACAAGTCAAGAGCCAGAATCTGCAGACCAGTCAAAGGCGACATGGACCTGGTGGCTAATTTCGGGTGATGCAGGGAAGCATCTTAAAGACACTAAACATCCAGGATTAGAAAAAAAAAAAACTTGCATTAAAGCTATATAAAAAAAAAATACTGGAAATGGCAAAAAACTGGATACTTCTTCATGTTATCCTTTCATTAGGAGACTAAGTGCAGGACTTTATATTCATTTTTGGTTCCCATCTCCAGCAGTCAGTGGATGAAAGGAAGTGTCCAAACAATGGAAACCTTCACTAACTAAGGGCAAGTCACATAGATCATTAACCTAAATGTAATATTTTTTGGTTAAATGGAAAAATGCAGGAAACTGTTATCTAAGATAAAATAGTTCTGCTTATTTGTTGATACACGTTTTCTTAAATCCCAGGGCCGACTGCACCAGCACCAAAACAAATACTTGAATCTATCTTCTTGGGCCGTTCGCCGCCGCAGGGTCACAGGGGAGGTTCTGATGCTACTAATATACTTGCAGAGAAAATAATTACCTTAAATGGTAAAATCGTTAAAGCTCTGTACTGATCCACAACATTCAAAAGAAACATTTTAAAAGTTGCACTAAACGGAAAAAGTTCAATGGTTTAATAATGTGTTGTTACTTAACTGCCGTTTCACTTTTTCTGATCTGATCTGATAACATCCTGTGTGATGAGTCACAGAGCTCGCCGTCAAAGGAGAGTTCAAATAAAAAAGAATGGAGTTCACCAGGAAACTCCTACTGTAATGTTTTTTTTTTTACCGTTGGAAACTCATTTTTTACATCCTGCAATAAAATAAAGCAGGGAAACCCTCATTCTAAAAAAAACTGAAACTTAAATTGGATCAGATTTCAATCTGTATAAATCAATATAGCTTCCTTAGACTTAGACAAACTTTATCGTCATTGTGTTTACACAGGGTGTATACAGAACGAATCTTCATTCACAACAGCTCTCCAGACCCGAGGTCATCAACAAGGGGTCAGCGACCCCTAAGGGGTCAACAGACATACTGCATGGGGGTCGTGAAAGTTTTGGTTGATTAGACTTTTTTTTATATTCCCCCCTGCAATGTTTTCCACTAATGAAAATGTCATTAAATCCACACTAACATGAATTCAACAAACAGTAGTAAACAGATAAATGGAGGCAGAAGATGTCTTTCAGTCATCAATGCACACATTCAGCAACACACAGGAACTCTTTCAAGCTGGGCACCGTTTCATACACAACACCTGTCGCATCAACCAGGAATCAGAAATACTTTAATAAACCCAGGGAGAAATTACTTTAGTTACATTACTCCATCTGTAATAGAGTGACTATAGGACCAGTTTTATAGAACACAATTTCATTCAACATACATAACTAGGGGGTCCCCGCTCCAGCTCGCCATCAGCCTGGAAAACAGTGAAGACCTCTGCTTTAGATATTTCCATTTCTTAAAGTGCAGCGGTGATAACATGCAAACACGGTGATCAAATGTAAAGATAAGACTAAGATGTGATTTACAATATTCCAACATTCTGCAGATTTTTTTTGTTGCTGTTATTATTCAACATTCATCAGTCTGATGGCGGTGGGGAAGAAGCTGTTCCAGAACCTGCTGGTCCTGCATTGAATGCTGTGAAGCCTCTTCCCAGAGGGCAGCAGGGAGAACAGTCCATGGTGAGGGGGTGAGGGGTCATTAGTGATGTCACAGGCTCGGGAGATGCATCGCTGGGATTAAATGTTTTTTATTGAGCGAAGAGGAGCCCCCATGATCCTCTCTGCTGTTCTCACCTTCTTCCAGTCTGAGGCGCTGCAGCCTCCACACCACACAGTGAGACAGCTGGGTGGGGGCAAGTGGGCTCTCCTCATCCTCCCCAGGAGGTCCAAGTACTTCTGGGCCCTTTTGACCAGTGAGGTGGTGTTTCCAGTCCAGGTGAGGGTGTCTAGGATGAATTTGGTGCTGCTGACCAACTCTACAGCTGAGCTGTTGATGAGCAGTGGAGCGTGGTTAGACCGGTTCTTCCTGAAGTCCACCATGATCTCCTTCGTTTTCTCCACAGCTCTCTCTTTTACTGGATCAAGGTGAATTTGATGTACTGTATATATAATGTAGAACCATCAATTAATTTAAATGGCACCAATGTATAAAAAGGTGAGTAACTTTATTTGTCAGGATTTGGTTATGGAGTGTTGACCCAAAAACAGAGGCAAGAAGGCAGAGGTGAATTTCTTTAGATTTAATTAAAAAGGGAAACTGAAAACAAAGGCAGGTTATCCAAAAATCCAATAATGAAAACGAAGTCCAAACAAGCATGAAATCAGGAGTCCAAAAATCCAAAAGAATCAAACATAAAAACTAGTCAAAACGAACCAGAAACCGTGGAGAAATCAGGGGAATCACTGTCACAATGAGGAAGACTCAGGAAGACGGAGTTGGAGGAAGTTTGACAAAGTTAGGCAGTGATTGACGAGGACCCAGCAAAGGGGAACTGAAGAGAGAGGGCTTTTAAAGGAGACTGAGACAAAGAGGGGGCTAATGAGGAAACTGGGAGCAGGTGTGCACAGAACAAGAGGGAAAGAGCTAGGGAAGAAGGAGAACATAAGAGGGCAGCAGAGAGCAACAAATAGAAACCTGGAAGACTGGAAATAACACAATGTTAAATTACTAGGACTATAAAACATGGAGAAAAGAAAACTAAACACTCAAAAGAAAACAGAACAGAACCCAGACTAGGACAGTAACTGGAAAAAAAACAAAGAACACAGCAAAATAAAAATAAAACCACTAACACTAGAAAACAAGGAGTAAAGCAAGACTGAATACTATAACAGAAACAGAGACCTGACATTATTAGTAAGGGGCCTTGTGAAAATCTGCTTCATCTTCAGGGATTTATTTGGAAAATACAGATATAGGTTCATTGTGATTAGTATGAATCAATCCTGAACTGGTTTTGGGTGTCCAGCTTCTCTCAAGGATCTGGGTTCCAGAGTTCAGGTTATGCCTGGTGATCAGCCCGACTATTTCTAGCAGTATCCCTCCAGCTTCCACAAAAAGTCAGGCTCCTTTTTCCCCCCAATGACGCGACATTTCACACACCCAGAGCCAGTTTTACAGTCTGTGGATCAGGTCATCTCTGGAACAGCCCTCCCACCCACCCCCAAAAAAACCTCCATGCACTGGTCCCTCCGTTGTAGGTACCAGATCTGCTCAGGGCCCCGCCCCTTCTTATGACGTCAACATATGGCAACTCCACTCGAACAAACTGCATTGCACCCGTTTCTTAAGAATCAAATCACTTTTGGAATCTCAACATATTATTACTTATATTTGCTGTTATTTTACATTTCATTGGCGATCTAAAGTTGCCAAAAGTAGAAAACAATCTTATTCAGTCTTTAAAGAAAGTACTGTGTTCTGAGACAGACTGAACTTTGGCATTTAACAAGGTTACAAAAAAAAGTCTCAGCTTATTTTTATTTTCTTTATTAACATCTGAGGGCAGAGGAGAACAAAATGAACATCTTAAAGAATTACTTTTGTAGAGATTTTAGACCAAAAAAACAACCGTTATTCTACTTGTAGAAAATTAGCGGTTGTTGCTAACAGTTACTTTGTTCACCAAAAACTGATATTTTTCAGATTTTTTATCGGTCAGGTAAAACTTCATCAGTCATTACACACGCTAACGCTACAGATGCTCCCAACTCGGCACACGGACGCTGCATGATGTTATCGTTGTCTGGGCAACCGGAATGTTTTACATCATGTGGCAACGTTCAGCCAATCATGTAGCGTAACATCACTGGCATGAAGCAGGACCCAGCAGATCTGGTACCTACACCGGTACCCTGTGGGTGATGGCCCCACTAGGGGATGCTCGCATGGCTGGGCCCGGTCAGGTTCCACTAGGAGGGACCTGACCACCAGATCCATGAACCTGAATCCCAGACCTGGCTCCACGGTGGGGTTCAGGCTATGTCGCACCAGGTGACGTCATGTGCATCAAACTTTTTGTGATCATGGGGGCTTTTGATCTGCACTTTGTCTGACCAATCACCCACAGCTATTCTGCCTTGGGAGACGCTACCAGGGGCATTGAAGTCTCTGCAATCATCCGGGAACTGAAAGCAATGTTTGGCATGAAACTTAAATATAAACATACAATGAAAGCTGAACAAAACATAAAGAATGAAACCTGAATTCACTGAATCAAACTCTCAATATAGTAAATTAAATCCGGAAAATATTGAATTATTGACAATTCAAGGGAATGCCTTGCATCACCACTTGCTCATCCAGGAGGAGTGAATCCTGGAAAGTCAATGACTGGAAGCAGTCGGTTGGTTTACCTTAGATAGAAAACTAAGGTAGGCCAATCTGATTTGATGATCTCTATGAAGAACGTTACAGTGCACGTTGTAAAATTTGCATTATATAAACAAACTGAATTGAACTGTATTCTTAAACCATGAGTTTAACAGTGTTTCTTTTTTGTTTTCCAGCTTTTGTCATTACATTGTCTCAAGTACAGAGCAACAAAATAAATTCTCTGCATTTAACCCATCCCCTTGTGGAGCTGTGGGCTGCCATCATGAGGCGCCCAGGGAGCAGTGTGGGGATGAAGGTCTTACTCAGGGACCTAGAGTGGGAGTCTGTGGGAGTGGAAACCAGAACCTCTGGATTCCAAGCTCAATGCCCTAACCACTAGGCTGCCACTCCCCAGTCTCAAAAATCCCTAAGATCCAGTATTCCCACTGCTCAATATTTGCTCTGATCCGTATTGCTTCAGCTGACATTTATGAGTATTGTTCATTTCTGGTTGGATCTACAGATAATACTGATTTTTCATTTTTCTTGTCTTTGTTTTGAAGAAACCACACTAAAGTAACTATGTTTGGAGGCACTTCTGTTCCAACGATTGCAGGAATAGGGATACGAGGAAAAAATTACCCATAGAGGAGAATGATTTATGAAGTCAAGCCTTTTCTTTAATGATTTGAGAGGCCTCCCCCTTGAACAGAAAAAAAGCCGGTTGGACTGGAACCAACATGAAGAGACGAGTGATTGAAAGCCTCGTTAGTGACGATGAGTGGCAGTAAATCAGCTCTAATACAGATTTCATTAAAGTTTTATTCAGCACATTTCAGTGGAAAGTAAATGGTTAAAAAAAGTCCGCCCGCCCACCTCCTCTTCTTAAAGAACTGGTCCGGCTCGTTAAACTTGCTAAAGTTCTGATTGCATCATTCTTTAACTACTAAATGTCATTCTCTCATGACACAGAGACCTCAAAATGACACTTTGATGTGTTCTAATTGGCAGTCTCAGTTTCTGTGGAACACAGAAACGGGTTTACCTCTAAAACTTGGCCTGTATCCTTCATTCTTTGGGTTCTGACAGGTCAAGTCTTTTCAACGGCATTCATCTCCACAGGATGATGCCGCTCTCCCCGTGCTTCGCCATGAGGAGGAAGTTAAGTAATGACTGCTGCTTCTGCCAAGTACCAGCCTCAGCCCCCCACAAAGTTTCTAACAAGTCCAGATTGGGGAGTGTTGGCTTAGTGGTGAGATCAGTGCGCTTGTGCTCCTAGAAGGTTGCAAGCACCCTGTTCGGTCCCAACATACTGCCTCTTTGGGTCCCTAAGCAAGACCTTTAACCCCACACTGCTCCCCAGTCACCGCACAATGGCAGCCCACTTCTCCCCAAGGGGATGGGTTAAATGCAGAGGCAAAATTCTCCAGTGTGAAATCAATAAAGGTCAATTATGATTATTATTATTATAGATAAACCTCTTAGAATGTTTACCTAAATATTGACTAAACTAAAAAAAACATATCATTAGAAATGACTGTAAATCTAACTGCTGAATAGGTGAGAACAAAAGCCAAACAGAGAACAGGACTAAAGAGGGAATAAAATTGGATTATAAAAGCTTTAAAAAATAATTTTTAAAAAATCACACAGACACAGAATGCTCTCATAATATGTTTTGATTTTAAGAAAAGAAAAATTTCTGGTCCTGCAGCATTGTTGAAGGATCAGGGCAGTTCCTGGGAAAGAAAACAAACGCTTATTTGTTTTTTTTCTCATGCCTCTAATAAAACTTTCCGCTTTTCTGCTTAAATCTCCATGGTGACCACATTCGTGTTTATATAAAACAGTGACCACTCCTCTTTAAAAGAATCCTATCAGTGATATAGATGAGAGCCATAGTCACTGTGAGGGTTTCTCCGGTTGGAGCGTCAGCAATGGAGACCGGTCGGTCTGGAAAATCTAAAATAATCCACTACTGCTGCTCTAATACTGACTGATCACTTACTTAAGGGTGCTAAAACATTCGAAGTCCCTATTTTACTTGTTGTGCTCTAGCTGTTTGTCAAAAAATAAAAATAAAAAAAAGAATATGAGACATATTTTCTTTAGTTTTACACTTTCTGTTAAGTAAATAATTCAATATATTTTTTTATTCATAGTTTTCATGTCTTCAGTGTAAATCTACAATCTTCATAGTCATGACAATAAAGAAAAGTTTTTGAATGAGAAGCTGTGTCCAAACCTTTGGTCTCTACTGTATATATATTGTTAGATGTATTTCTAGTGGGTCCCAAGTCTGATGCATTATTATTTTTTTGGCTCACGAACTGAAAAGCTTGCGAGCACCTGCTCTAAATGACTAATAAAAAAAAAAGAAAGATTCCTTGTCTCTGACAGATATTTCTTCCTTAACTGGACCTCAGTTCTTCATCACAACAGTTTCAACCATCCCATTCTCATGCAGACACTCTGCAGAGGTAAAGTCATGCAGGAGCGCCTACCCCAGTCTTTGTTATCACTTCCTTTTTTTCCCCTTTTTTTTACGCTGCTATAGGCTTAGACTGCTGGAGGACATAGGGACCCCTTTTTCATCATTCTGCTTCATTCTATCTCTATTCTCTCACTCTGCAGAATCTGTTAGTTCAATCTCTAACGTTCTGCTCTCTCTGCTTTTTCTCATAGTAGCTTCATCTGGTCTGTTCCTGTTTGGCTGTGACTCCATCCTGGAGAGAAATATCAGCTGTGCTGCTGCCATCAGCACCTTTGTTTCTAGATGTTGGAGATCTGCCTGTTTTTTTCAGTGTAGTCCTGTTTCTCTGACTGTGACTAACTGGATGTGCTCTTTTCATCCTCTGACATGGGAGCTGGCTCGGAGCTCGTCTGCCTGGCTGTGTGCTTCCTGGACGGGGCCGCCTGTTACAGTTGCCTGTTGTATCTATGCTTCTTTTTCTATGTCTGCTTCTGTCTCCCTAAACTCCAGTCAGCCTCGGCAGATGGCCGCTCACACTGAGTCTGGTTCTACTGGAGGTTTCTTCCTGTTAAAAGGGAGTTTTTCCTCTCCACTGTCACTACAAGCATGCTTAGTGTGAGGGAGTGCTGAAGAGTCAATGAGTCGATGCAATCAGCTGGTTTTCCTTAGATAGAAAACTTTTAATAAATCTGACTGAATATTCTGGTGAACTGGAAAGTGCCTTGACATGACATGTGATGTGAATTGGCGCTATAGAAATAAACTGAACTGAATTGAATCTCTTTTTTGTTGCAATTGCACTTCATTTAAATCCAATATAGGTATTCACACGTGGAAATCAGATTCTAAGTGTCTGAAACTTGATGTTACTTTTCAAATAAAGTCAAAGTGAAAAATTTAGAGCTACCTTTTAAAAGTATTTAGCATTTCACCTGTTAGTAGGTGTGTATCTCACTGCCGATGTTATTGAAAGAGTTAAATGTGGGAAAGTTGTTCATTTTTAGTCAAAGTAAGATTCTTGCGGACAAAAATCTAACTTAATCCTAACTATAAGCAGTTTGGGAGTAAAACTATGACTAAGACCTGCAAACTGACTAAATTTTCACTAAAAATTATTTCAACTTTCTTCAAAACTTACAGGATTTTTCCATATCTAATCTCTCAGTAATAGCCAACAGTCCCCTTCCCTTGTTTTTATTGATGTAAACATTATTTCCTTTAATTTTTTCATTTAAATTACTGAACTCCTCATAACTTTCTACTGATGAAATGTGGTGCATGTTCTTGTTTCGCAACGGTTAATTAACAAACTCTTTGCTTATATGCACACCAAAACAGATCCGTTGAAACTGTCTGCATTAGTGCACAGCAAAAAATTGTAATAAGTCATTTTTTCTTGAATTGAAGTTGCAAGCGACATATTTTGCCAATGGAACGCGACAATTTACATTTAAAATACATAAAAAAAACAGTTGCATTGTCTTAGTTCAAGTGCATATTATCTAATTATCGTATTTTAAGATTAAAAATACTCATTCCATTGGCAAAGAAACATATTTAAAAGCTCAAATTAAGGGTAAATATACTTTATTTAAGGAACTTTTACTTATTTCTAGATCGTTTTTGCAGTGTGGCATCAAGTAAGCTGCCTTTTTGGTGAAACCCAGGAGACGTGGCGGGACATGTTGGACCTATGGGGAGTCAGATATGGCCGTTCAGAGTTTTATGGAATCCCCTCAGCTTCTTTCTGCAGCATAAAAATGAGTCTTTTGACAGCGTTCATCCCGTTCGCCAATATATGGGACGATGACAAAGTCCAGTCAGTCCGTAGCACTGAGAACTTTGGACTCCATCGGATCAAACAAGTGGAAAGTTCACTGGGATGTATCAACTTTTTGCCGTAGTCTGAAAATTATCCAAGCTGCTCTCCTGGAAAAAAGGAAAAGAAGGCAGGATTTTAAAGAACAATCAAGGCTGGAAGCTTCCATGAACAAGAGGAACTCAGATTTGTGCTGATCTAACAGGGAAGGCTCTGCTTCAGAACCCAGAGGCTGCCCACATGGAGAAGAGGTGTGATGTGCAGACCACAGAAATCCTGAAGCATTAGACATGACAGCAAGAAGGATGTTTGGAGGAGTCCAATAGTTTAACCCTTTGTAGCGCACTCAGTGAAATCCTTTGAAAATCAAAATTTCAAGCCAATAGTGTTATTGGAATCCAGGACAAGACGTTATTATCTTTGTAACATTCAAAAAATGTGCATATTTTGATGGCTAATTTGTATGTCAATTTAATAACACGAAAAGGCAACTTGCCCGAATATATTAAGAAAAATAACAAAAATGCATTAAAAACAAGTTCTTTTTTGGTCCAACATAACCTTAGAGGCATTAATGGTGAAACTGGCACTTACATTTTTTTTTAGGTTATACACCTAAATATAAATGTTAAATAGGCTTAATAACCTTTTAACTTTACTTTTTAACTTTTCAATTAGCTTTTTAACTTTTTTCTTGACTTGTTAACTTTTTTCAACCTAATTTACAGCAGGTAATATATCATTCAAGGGCTCATCTAATTAGTCAAATGCCAAAATTAGATGTACAGCCATGTAGCAGAATCTTTGCCGAATGGCTGGATATAGATCTTGTGCTTCTAGAACTCACTGAGGGACTGAGGGTCCATTTGTAAGAGGGTATGCAAGTGATGAAAACTGGTAAGTTGCTCTATAAAGGGATAAACCTGAAAACAAGCATGGTAGTGGCAGCATCATGCAGCGGGGTGGTTTCACCACAAAATGAATAACTGTGTTTGAAACCTGGATAGAAGGTGTTCTAAAAGGAAAACTTCAATGAAAAAAAAAACTCAAAATCAACCCATTAATGACTAAAAAAATCTCCCCTTCTCAGGAATATTTATATATATTCATAAATGGAGAAGTGAACATAAAGGGCATCAATTAAATCCTTGTCTTTTTTTATCTTCTTTCTTTGTGTGAATTTCTTTTAATAAACATCAGAGCCTCATATTTTTAGCAAAAAACTGATTTATAACAAAGATGCTCATGTCATAAGACTTTTATATGTGTTATGCAAAAGTTAGCCTGAGGCTATTAATGACTGGTCCAGCAGGTTATTCAGTGTTTACTCACTAAAAAGTTTTTGATCTTCAGCCAAAGACAAAGATGAGGGTTAGAAACACCCACACTCCTTCCTGATGATTAAAAGTCAACAGTTCAGACTTTTGTAAACTTTGCCATAACACGTTTCTCTTGTTGTAATCCTCCATGATTAATTATTTAGGGATTAAAGTTCCAACTTCTGGTGGATTTCATTTTCATTAAAGAATTGGTTTGAACTACAAGTGAAAATCTGATTTATAAACCACAGCTACAGGTTTGTAATTAACAGCAATAAAGTGAAAGTCGGTTACATAACTCCTTCTCCACCGCGCGGTGCCTGCGCCATCTTTGTTATTAGTCGCCGCTGTCAGGTCGCAACAGCCTATGGCGACAGCAGGCCACTATGACAGCAAATCCCATAATGCTTAGCGAGGAGAGCTCCCCTCAAAAAGCATTCTGGGATATATCTGCCTCTTCTGAGGCCTTTCTTTTCTTCTCATAAACTTCGTAGACACCTTTCCTCTTCCGACCCTCGGCCATTTTCAAAGAACCGCGGTGAGAAAGTCTAGCTTCAATGACTGTCTGAAACCGTAGCTCACCACAGATATACGCCTGAAAGTACGCAGAAAAAGATAGCTAATTGGACGTTATGTAAACATATCACCAGAATAATTGACAGTTAGGACCACTGATTGAGATGATCCCCCCGGAAATAAAAGACCGCCCTCTATACCTTTAATGTTTAAATCCTACGTTTTGTAGAATTTAGAGGATCAACTTAAGCTTTTTACTCAAGTAAAAGTGTAAAAGTACCATTTTTAAACCAACCTAAAGTATAAATGTAAAAGCAGATGGCCGCTCACACTGAGCCTGGTTCTGCTGGAGGTTTCTTCCTGTTAAAAGGGAGTTTTTAAAACTACTTAAAGTATAAAAGTAAAAATAATGCAGGAAAAACTGTTAAGGCCAGAAGCTTTACTGCTCTACCATATTAAAGGAACATTTTTCTACAATTGTAGATGATAACTTCCTTAGACTTTATTTTCTTAGTTTTATAACTAATGGTAATAGAATCACATTTACTTTTGCATCATCTTGAAAAACGATTTTTTTATGTTTGTGGTGAGCAACAAGTTGGGGCAGCACCGAGTCCAACCACAAAGAAATTAATTGTCTGAATGCAACTAATTATTTTGATGAGTTTTATCCTTTAAATGCCAACAGGCCATAATGTAAAATAAGCTTAGATGAAGCAAAATTCAGTCTATTTTTTAAATGGTTAAGGTTAGGAGTAGAAAGTAAAGTTATTAGGTTATTATGTAAATAAACAGTTGTCTAAAAAATAATTACACTAGCCATGTATAGATAGCCAACTTTGTTATTTGAAGCCTCTGCCCATGATATTAACAATTGTACCATTAAAATTAAAAGATGTAACATTTATTTAGTATCTAAAATTTATCTAAAAATGACTCAAATATTACATATGTCTCCATTCAATTGTAAAATATGTCATCAAATAATTAAAAATACAGTGATAACGATGGATCAAATAATCAAATGTCATTCAAAAATATTTTTATTTAAAAATAAATATCCCTAAATCACCTTCTGTCTTTGAATAAAAATAGAGGGAAGTTAGATATGTATCCTCTGTGGTCTCCGCTCTGCTGTGTTGGTATTTTTGGGGTCACAGGCTGAAATGTTTGTGAACCTGTTATCTAAAGCATTTTAGCAGAAATGTGGCACCTTGTCTGAAAGCTGTAGTAGAGCCAAGTTGTACCTGTCTGTTTGATTTATAACTACAGAGAGGGGAGCCAACTCTCCTGCTGATTGGATGGATCAGACAACATTTCAGATCTCTGTAAAAAGGTTGATTTTTTTTATGAGCAGCAGAGGGCAGTAAAGCAGCACAGGGTGGTGCTGCTTCTCCAGAGGATGGATCACTCACAGAGTGAGTAGAGCAAAGTCTGTGATGATGGAGGTTTGTTTTTAGCTCTTTATACATTGATTATAAAACATTCATGATAAAGAAGTGGAATCAGATGCTTTCCACTTGTCCCACAACGCATCCACATCATGAATATTCACTTACCTGTGCACAGAGGGGGCTCATCATTCCACCCAGTTTCTTCACAAACTATTTCAGCGGCACCCTCTAATCTGAAACCATGGTAACAGGAGTACAGAGCGGTCAATTTGCCAGATTTGGAGGAAAATATAAAATCTCCATTCTTGATCTGCCTTGGAGAGCCACACAGTTGCAGGTCTGAAACAGGGAGGGGAAAAGTTTTCACTTTAATGTGTTTTTAACCACTGAAGTGATTTATTTTATCAAGCTTTCAAAGATCACCGTGACTCTTCTCCTCTCTCCAGGCCTCCAGCCTCATGGACGGTATCTCACTGCAGTGAACATAAGCAGCAGGGTACTGACCAAACCTGAAGGGATCTTCAGGGATCTCCTGTATGTCTGTGTTGTCGCAAATAATTCGAGAAAGAGAAGATTTCAAAAGCTCCTCCTTCTGTTGCTGAGTGAAAACACCTTCGGCTTCCCACCAAAACCTTAGGAAGAAGAGCAGAAAATGCTCACCTGAAGCCTTCTTCAGTTTTGAATCCATCGTGAATGTTATTGTACCTGTCACCGTCACGGAGAGACTTCATTTGCTTTCCGATCAGACAGGCAAACAGCGGACCGGTTCTAGAACCTGAGAGGATGGTTTCTACGAGTCCCCCGAGCCAAACATCGATGTTGTTTGGATGCTTGTAAAGATGAAGTATCTTCTCAGCAACTCTGCGATCCCCAACCGCTTCTGCGAGGTCATCCAGTGTAGCTATGCGCATCAAGCCACAGAATTCCCTCCACTCATTGTATCCTGAAAAGCTCATTTGAGTATATGTTAAAAATTACTATAACATTTGGGACTTTGTGTGATTTTCCACTGAACGCATCACATTTGGGGTTCCTCAGGGCTGACCTGTCGGGTCACTTTCATTCCATATGTTCAAATTAATTCAGTTTATTTCTATAGCTCTAATTTGAAACACATGTCATCTCAGGTCACTTTCCAGTTCACCAGATCATCCAGTCAGAATGATTCAAAGTTTTCTATGTAAGGAAAATCAGTTGATTGCATTGACTCATTGACAATGTGTGTTCGTTAAAAAAGAATGGGTGACATCACTTTTTACATGATTCAATCACTTCCCTCTGAAACGGTTTGATTAATTTTCACTCTGGTTCGAGGTTCTAGGAAAGCTGTTTGAAAGCGAGCCTAGAGGTACGGTGGAAACAGGAGAGAAGATTATTTCGGGAAGATGAATTTCTCTCATCCTATTAATCTTCATCAGTCATTGAACATCTCCTTAACATGAAAGTCATGTCTGTCTCTTAGTATAAAACTTAACATAATAGTAGCATGTTTAATTAATTGCACACTGTGACCGCTGCCCATAGTAATCAAAAATTAGACGTATTTAGTTTTAACACACCAGTGCAGATCGTGGCCCCTGCCCCCTTTTACAGCCCCTGAGCTGAAGATAAATTGTGTAAAAATAGGAATTCAATTCAATTCAGTTTATTTCTATTTCCAATTCACAACACATGTCATCTCAAGGCACTTTACAGTTCACCAGATCATCCAGTCAGATTGATATCAAAGGAAAACCAGCTGACTGCATCGACTCATTGACTCCTCAGCAATCTCTCACACTAAGCATGCTTGTAGCGACAGTGGAGAGGAAAAACTCCACTTTAACAGGAAGAAACCTCCAGCAGAACCAGCCTCAGTGTGAGCGGCCATCTGCTGAGGCTGACTGGGGTTCAAGGAGACAGAAGCAAAGATACAAAAGGCAGGAAAAACACAGCCATGCAGACGAGCTCTGAGCCAGCTCCCATGTCAGAGGATGAAGAGAGCACATCCAGTTAGTCACAGCCAGAGAAACAGGACTACACTGGAAAACAGTCTCCAACATCTAGAAACAAAGGTGTTGATGGAAGCAGCACAGCTGATATTTCTCTCCAGGATAGAGTCAGAGCCAAACAGGAACAGACCAGATGAAGCTACTACGAGAAAAAGCAGAGAGAGCAGAACGTAGAGATTGAACTAACAGATTGTGCAGAGTGGGAGAATAGAGATAGAACAAAGCAGAATGATGGAATATCTGCTCCCAATTAAATAATCCATCAATAAGATGACAAACTGTTTTATTTCAACACAATCACTGAGTTAGTACATCCATAACATCAAGGTTGAGTCGGTCCTCATTTCCTGCAGGAAGAATATTGGAAACCTCACAAGGTTAAAGGTCAGAATTCAAGCAAAAGAAAGCAGTGCAGAGCTAAAACACAACCAAACAAACTCTCTTGCACATGTGCACCCTTACAGAAAATCCCTTGATTTCACCAATTCACATTTGATTCCCATCTTCACATGTGTTAAAGTCCCATGACTTTCAAATGCAATTCTCACCTTTCACACGTGGGTTACATTTCCAGATACAATCCAGCAGTTTGTTCATGTATTCCATATTTTATATGGCTCTTGATCACATGTGAACCACTTATTGAGATTTTTCCCCAGGTGAATGCTCTGATTGAAGCTCTTTTCACTTTTGTCAAAAAGTCAAAGTATATGTGTATAATGTGTATTGCTATACACTTGTATATTTTTATGCAAACATCTCATGATGTACACTGAATATGTGAGAGCTGTACTGAACGAAATTTATTTTGGTATACACTCTGTGTGTACACAATGACAATAAAGTCTGTCTTAGTCTAAGTCTAAGAATATAAATTATTACAAATTTCAAAACTGAAATTATTCAAAAGTTAATGTAAACAGTGGGAAGAATAACTCTCGTTAACCCCAACCCCATTTATATGTGAAAAATGATTAAATCATATTAGACGGCATCAACTTGACTGGAGAGAAAATTCTTTAGATATAAATATCATCTAGATATTTTTCCATTCATTTTCATAATTTAAAGAAAACCTGTTCATAGCTACAAACAAACAAAAGACTAAGCAGCGATAACTTTGAAACGTTAAAGATATAACCTTTTATTTTCAGGAGGTAATTTTGATGTTGGTGCATAAGCGACTCAATGGTGTGAAGTTGGAATCCATCTCAGCCGGTATTTAGGGCGATGCCATCTTCTAACTGAAAGCAGTCAGACTGATGGATGAGGTCAGATCATTATCACTTTAGTAACATTTCTTAGCAAACTAAACAGAAAATAGCTCTGCCTGGATGTCAGAGGGTAGAAATATTGGAACGTGGAAACATTTTTGCATCTTTATATACATGCAGTCAGTTGGTTTCAAAGAAACTGGCTTGGATTCAACAAGAGGCTTGAAAACTTGGAACTGATGCACCACTAACTGCTTTCGTTAGAAATGAATTATCCAATTAGGACGATGGCAGCAGTCCAGCAAGGCGGTTATTTACAAAGGGAGCATCACAGAGTTTAATGTCTGACATGGAAAGAATGCTGACACTTCTAAGCGTTCTGAGATTACAGAGTAGAATAATCTGTTGCGAATGGTTTCATTTAAACTTTAAAGGACATTGTACTAATAGAGGGTCACGCAATGAGTTTGGGCCCTACAGGCATCACCGGAGCACAAACCTAATCAGAAGACCAATTCAGCACAATCAGGGAATGAAATTTGTTCAAGTTTTTTTTTTTTTAGGAAAGAATAAATTTTGTAAATTAAAATAAACTATTTATAAAATGTGTTTTTACAATGTTTTTAAATATATTTTTTCACATTTTATTTTTCCAGATTGTATTTTTTACAAAATGCATCTTTTTTTTAGATTTAGTTTTGTTACGAATTGCATTCCTTTCAAATTTTGCCTTTTTTCTGAAGTGAGGAGCAACGACTTTAATTTTGCTGCGCATTGACGTTAGCAACAGTATGGTTTTTGGCAGCATTTCAACCTTTAGTCAGATGCATAAAAATGCTTATTAGGTATTTCATATGAACACCTCCTATAAACAAGCGTCATACAAATGTGAATGTATTTATCATGCATTTATTAATCATGTGTTTAGAAATCTATTTGACCTAATACTTATTTAAATTTTTTTTTATTATTTCCTTAGTTATAGAAATGCCAAAAATATGACAGAGTAATAGAGCACGGCTGGAAATTTTTTTTATTTTGAGGATAAAGTTGTAAAATTAGGAGAATAAAGTTGTACATATGGGAATAAAGTTGTAATATAACGAGAATGTAATATACATATATTGCTGTTATATTTCATAATACAACAACCTGTTTCAGGAAGAAAGCTTCAAGCTCCGCCCAGCAGGTGATGGCCAACCGGCTCCACCAATCAGCAGCTAGAGTCCACTTTGACATTCTGCCCAGTTTGATGCTGCTGCTAAAACATTTCCTGATTTTATGTTAAAGTATAACTTCACATGATGCTCCACATTCCTCATTTTAGGGAAGAAAGGGCTTCTGGTAGGAGTTGTCATAAAATACAACTTTATTCTTGTAACATTAGGACTTTATTCTCATAATATTATGACCTTATTGTTGTAATTTTACGACTTTATTCTGGTAATTTTATGACTTTATTCTCATAATATTATGACTTAATTCTGGTAATGTTATGACCTTAGTCTCATAATTTTACGACCATATATTCATAATGTTATGACCATATTCTCATAATTTTATGACTTTTTTCTCGTAATTTTACGACTTTATCGTTTGTCATTCTCTTTGAGACTTTATTCTCGTTATGTTAAAACTTTATTTTTATATAGCCTGGCCCTAATACTCCATCATAGAAAAATGACCATATTTATAAAAATAAAACTTTTCTTTTACTCTGAGCTACGAGCTCATACAGCCGAAGAAATAAACATTTAATCAGGTGATCATCTCTCCCACTCATTTTCGCAGTTCTGGCCTCATTTATTTTCCTGCACTGACTCCTTTATTGTTTTATAAGTAACTTACATATATCAGAATTGACTAGATAAACCTTCTGAAGCCTGAAACTCATTGCTCATAAATCACAGTGATAAATAATCAAAAACACTCATAACTAGATCTGAAAATAAAGGTTACCGCTGCTACATTGATCACAGCAAAAATCAACCCAGAACAACAATCATGAATGGGTCCACAGACCACATCAGAGGAATGTGCTGCTCCTCTGCTTCTGTTACCATGACAATCCACACACAGTATGGTTTTTAATCATAAAAGACTAAAATCCGAGAAATCTTCAGCGGGATTCTGATCGTCTGAAACAAGGACTGTCCCCACAAATAGGAAATCTGGTCACCATGTTTTTTATTGCTTTAAGTCGAAGCTACCAGCATGTTTGCTATCAAAGCACATAAAGAATAGAATAGAAAATCCCTTTATTGAAAACACATATTGTTTCCATATATTTTTTCCAAAAAAGTAACAAAATAATCCACTGGACTTTGTTTCCAAGTTTGAAGATGTTTCGCTTCACATCCAGGAAGCTTTTTCAATTCAAAATGTCAGAAAAGGAGCCTAGGTGGAAGGTCAACTGAAGAAACTAATTGCTCTCCTACATCCACCTACGACTCAGCCAATCAGCTTTGAACCACACCTCCATGAAAGCCAATCGGCATCCAAAGTTCATCTTAAAAGGCCTCCGAACCGCAACTAGTCTGCTCCTAGTTCATAGGTGGTGGTTTTTCCTCTCCACTATCGCTTCATGCTTGCTCATCATGGACAGGTTCTCTCAACCT